CCTGCAGAATGGATCGGATCTGCGGATTGAGCATAATGGATCTGACTCTGATCCATTATGCTCCCCAATCCGCAGATCCGATCCATCCTGCGGGGATCGTCGAAATGCAACCTATACGGGGTGACACCGGACCCGCTCCACGAAAAGGTAAGTTTGTAAAGAAAGCAGACGAACACCGCAGGATGGATCAGATCTGCAGATTGAGCATAATAGATCAGACTCCGATCCATTATGCTCCGCAATCCACAGATCTGATCCATCCTGCGGGGATCGTCGAAATGCAACCTATACTGGGTGACACCGGACCCGCTCCACGAAAAGGTAAGCTGTAGAGAAAGCCGACGATCCCCGCGGGATGGATCGGATCTGCTGATTGAGCATAATGGATCAGACTCCGATGATTATGCTCCCCAATCAGCGATCCACCTGCGGGGATGTTGAAATGCAACCCATACGGGGTGACACCGGACCCGCTCCGAAAAGGTAAGTTGTAAAGAAAGCCGACGATCCCCGCAGGATGGATCAGATCTGCGGATGGAGCATAATAGATCGGACTCCGATCCATTATGCTCCACAATCCATAGATCTGATCCATCCTGCGGGGATCGTCGATCCAACCTATACGGGGTGACACCAGACCCAGTCCACGAAGGGTAAGTTGTAAAGAAAGCCAACGATCCCCGCAGAATGGATCAATCTGCGGATGAGCAAAATAGATTGGACTCCGATCCATTATGCCCCACAATCCGCAGATCTGGGTGGGGATCGTCGAAATGCAACCTATACGGGTGACACCGGACCCGCTCCACGAAAAGGTAAGTTGTAAAGAAAGCCGACGATCCCCGCAGGATGGATCAGATCTGCGGATGGAGCATAATAGATCGGACTCCGATCCATTATGCTCCACAATCCATAGATCTGATCCATCCTGCGGGGATCGTCGAAATGCAACCTATACGGGGTGACACCAGACCCAGTCCACGAAGAGGTAAGTTGTAAAGAAAGCCAACGATCCCCGCAGAATGGATCAGATCTGCGGATTGAGCAAAATAGATTGGACTCCGATCCATTATGCCCCACAATCCGCAGATCTGATCCATCCTGTGGGGATCGTCGAAATGCAACCTATACGGGGTGACACCGGACCCGCTCCACGAAAAGGTAAGTTGTAAAGAAAGCCGACGATCCCCGCAGGATGGATCGGATCCATCCTGTGGGGATAGTCGGCTTGCTTTACAACTTACCTTTTTGTGAAGCGGGTTCGGTGTCACTCTGTGCGGTCGGTCTTCCCCGGTGCGGCGCGCACCCCCCGCATCTGCCTCGGGACACCACTGCTGTTATGGTCACAAGAAGCATGAAGTGGCCCCATGGGATTGGAAACCCTTGGCACCACATTACCCTTACATATACCCAGTGAAGTGACTAACCTCAGGTGACACACAGAGATGAAACAAATCCTCCTGCATACGTTATACCTGTTTATGATTTTGTTTGAGGTCAGTTTCTGGCTCTTCCTTTTGTCTTTTTCAGGCGGTCGCCCTTGTTAGCTGTCCCCAGGCAGGGATTTTTTCCTATCAGCTGTCACTGGGCAGATCTGTAAATATCCTTCAGCTTGGATTGGTCCTGGACTTTTGGAGAACCTGGCAACCAGTTGCGGATCTCACACACCTTTAAATATTTTTGGTTGTCAAGGGCCTGTCAGCAGATGGATCTTCAATCAAGCTGAGTTGCCCTGCCCTCCCTCCCCTACTCGTGGCTATACATTGTTGGGGGTATTGTAACCCACATTAGTGGGCGGACAGTGTGGTTAAATACATTAACAGACTGGTTATGTGTAGCTCGAGTCTTGGTAAATGAGCGTTTGGTGTTTGTTATTTATTTAGAAGTTTTGGTTTGGCTTGTGGTTATTCATTTTAAATAAAGTTGCATTTGTTTAATTGATATGTTTTTAAACCCAATAAATGGCTGCGGCCCAAAATTTTCTAATATTCTTGTCTTGTTTATTTCGTTAAAGCGGAGCTCCACCCAAAAAGGGAAGTTCCGCATTAAGCCTTTGTCCCCCACTCCTTATTAAGTATTGGCACCTTTGGGGACCGGGGGGGAGCGGGTACCCGAAAATGACAAGTACCTGCTCCCACTTCTGCTGCGATTGCCTAGGCCAGGGGTAGGCAACCTGCGGCTCTCTAGCTGTTGTGGAACTACATTTCCCATGAGGCATTGCAAAGATTAAAAAACTGACAGTTACAGCTATGACTTACAGAGGCATGATGGAACTTGTAGTCCTGTGGTTCTCAGGTTGCCTACCCCTGGCCTAAGCGATCGGAAGCGGAAGTTGTCCCCCCCCCCCTCCCTCCCCGTAGTCTTCTGGGACACATGACAGGTCCCAGAAGACTACGGGGCCATTCACAAAGCACAGCACTTCTCACGCATGCGCAATGGGCACCTGACTGTGAAGTCGCAAGCTGTCACAGCCCGGTGCCCACACTAAAGATGCCGGTGCCAGGGAAAGAAGACGGCCGATGAAACCAGCCGTAGTGAGGACGCTGCTGGACCGAGGGACAGGTAAGGGTCTGTGATTTAAAAGTCAGCAGCTACAGTTTTTGTAGCTGCTATTTTTTTTTTCAGGTGGAACTCCGCTGTAACTTTTTCTTTACAGGTTGTTTTTGTTATTGTTTTTGTCTGGGGTGTGTGTGGGATCTGCAATCCCATGTGTGGAAAGAACCATTTGCTTTTCTTAAAGTTGTCCAGTCAGTCTTTTCCCCTAAAGCTGCCAATCCATGGATTGAAATTCAGCCAGTTCAGCAGGGACCGGACATATTTCGAGCCATGTGTGGGTACTGTGGTTGAATAGATGTCTATCTACCAATCAATTCTGTTCAACCTCCCTTTTGGATTTTTGAGACTCGATCAGCGCTGCAGGCTATAGAAAACTCCTGGCTGTGGGAAGGATTCCCCCATCCACCTTGAATGTGTGGATGGGGGAATTGGGTCAGTTTTTTGTTCAACCTACTGGTTGTAAGAAAAAAAATTGACTAATGTATGGGCAGCTTTAGGTGCATCAGACAGGGTTGTCCAGTAGTCGGGGATCAGGGGTTTTAATCATTTTTTTTTCTTTTTTCTTTTTTTTTTTAAGATTTTTTTTAACACACTGTGACCAGAGCAATATAATGTTACCATAGTGATCAGGATTTTTTTTACACATTATGATTGCTTATATCAGTGAATTTCACTGGTATAAGCAACGATTTTTATTGAATGAAATTGATTTATTCAATGTATACTACTGTGGTTAGCTGTTATTAACCATAGCTAATCATATGGTACAGATGGGTTGTGATTGGCCCTGTCTGTACCATGTGATCACTGTGACCAATCACCGAGATCACAAACAAATAAAGGATTTCCAAGCAACATTTAGCAGCCAGCTTGCAAAACAACCAATTTGGCCCTGTCTAACAGTTTGCGTTAAAAACAGAGGGTTTTGTTTGCACACATTTGTAAATACATGCGTAAGCCACAGTCCCACATCAAGGGTCTCTGTATACTGTGGAACAAACTCTAAAATTCAGAGCCTCCATGGTAGGAGCACATATATCAATGGGTAGGTTAAGGGCAGGTGTGCCTTGAGGGGCCCATCCCTCCTTAAAGGTACAGGGATGCATGTTGCGCCCAGCTATACCAAAATGACAGCAAAGACACCCAGTGCGTCCCTGCATCTAATTTAGCCAACTACACAAAAAATGGCAACCGTCCCCACCTATAACCAGTCTTAGCAGTAAGATGCACATGGAAGAGTAATGCACATAGTAAACAAACAAAGTATTTCCCAGAAACATTTACCAGCAGCCTGCAAAGCAACCATTTTGGCCCTGTCTAACAGTTTGCGTTAAAAACAGAGGGTTATAGGTTGGAACAGTTGCCATTTTTTGTGTAGTTGGCTAATTTGGATGCAGGAACGCACTGGATGCCTTTGCCTGTATTTGTTTGTGATGTGCATTGCCCTTCCATCTGCACCTTACTGCTAAGGCTGGTTATAGGTTAGGATGGTTGCCATTTTTGTGTTTATCATGGAGATCAACACAATAGTACACAATGAATGGCATGAATGAACATTATCCATTGTGTACAATTGTCATGTGATCTGCTGTGATCGGCTGGTACACTAACTGGTCATCCACTGTGTCCGATGGACACAGCCAGTGACAGATCACACTACAGCGTGGCCCATGGAGCACATGCGAGGCGTGTTCTAGGAGGATGTCATATGACATTCACCTGGAGTAGTGAATGTCCCACCCAGCTGTCATTTGACTATAGTCTATGAAAGTATTTTTATGGTACAGTAGTTTAGTTTATTTAAAGCGATTGTAAAGGTACAGATTTTTTTTAAAATAACAAACATGTCATACTTACCTGCTCTGTGCAATAGTTTTGAACCTCCCCCCTGCTGAGTGCCCCAGAGCAAGCTGATGTGTGTGCTCACTCCCAAGCCACCATTGCATGTCTATGGGACACACAGAACGTGGCTCAGTTCACACCCCTGCTCCCTCCTCACTGGCTGTGATTGACAGCAATGGGAACCAATGGCTTCCACTGCTGTGTCTCAGCCAATGAGGAGAGAGAGGCCTGGGAAAGTTTCTGCTGTCGTGCACAGCACTTGATCAGGTTTGGGTGAGTATGAGGAGGGGCTGCGGGGCAACCTGCACACTGAAGGTTTTTTACCTTCATGCATAGAATGCATGATGGTAAAAACTTTCAGCCTTTAGAACCACTTTAAAGTGATTCTAAAGATTTTCTTTTTAAATAAAAACATGTCTATACTTACCTGATGTCTGCAGTGGTTTTGCACAGAGCAGCCCGGATCCCTCCTCTTCTCGGGTCCCCCGCTGGCGCTCCTGGCCCTCTCCCTCCTGTAGGGTGCCCCCACACAGATGCGGACTGACCATTTGGAAACTTGGGCAGTGCCCGAGGGCCCGGGGTCAGTAGGGGGGCCCCATGAGATGCCCCTGGTACCTTATTCAGAGGTGGCTCAGCTCCACCCCTTCTCTCTTCTCATTGGCTCACTAGCTGTGATTCACAGAGGTGGGAGCCAATGGCTCCTGCTTCTGTCTCAGCCAATGAGGATAGGGAGTCCCAGGATAGCCGAGACTCCAGTGCATATCGCTTGATCGAGATGGGGCTTAGGTGAGTTTTAGGGGGGGGCTAGGGGGATGATGTACACAGAAGTTTTGTACCTTCACGCAAAGAATGCATAAAGGTAAAAAACCTTGAGCCTTTACAACCACTTTAATCTAGTGTTCTTTGCAATTGTGATTTTTTTTTCCCTTTTTTGGATATATATTTGTTTTGTCTGTACTATAGCTTTCCTTTTTTATTTTCCTTTTTTCTGTTTTTTCCTTTCTGTGAAAAAAGTATAAAATATTGAGCTTAGGGACGCTAAAGAAGGGCCAGTTTTGGCAGAAGTACTGATAATGGTTAGATAATAGCATCTCCTGTAATCCTCAGAAATTATTTAAAGCCAATTCAGCCCTAGAAATATTCAAAGAACACATGAAGTTTTTTTGTAGAAATGGTGAAGTTTTTACAAAATCTTGCCGATTTCAACAAAATTTAGCTCATCCTTAATGGTGCCATTAGACGTGACTATCAACTGATCTGACCAAAAATGGCTAGCTCAGAAACTAGTCAAGTCACGTCACATGATGTAGCTTTTGAAATCACAGAATTTTGCCGTATAATAGGGTCAGGGTCAATGCTGTTGCAGTCACATCAGGTTGCTTCTGCTCTTTCTTACAGAACAGCCAACGCTTTTCGGGGGCTCAATGATCTTCTTCTGCAGGGTTAAAAAACAGACATAAAAACATATGAAATCTTACATTCTTTCAATTTGTACTGGATTACATTCATTTATAAATGTAAACAATTTACAATATATTAACTCATACAGCGAGGAACAGAAGTATTTGAATACCCTGCAATTTTGCAAGTTTTCCCACTTAGAAATCATGGAGGGGTCTGAAATTCACATTGTAGGTGTATTCCCACTCTGAGAGACAGAATTAAAAAAAAAATTCAGGAAATCACATTGTATGATTTTTAAAGAATTTATTTGTCTTGCACTGCTGAACATAAGTATTTGAACACCTGAGAAAATCAGTGTTAATATTTGGTACAGAAGCCTTTGTTTGCAATTACAGAGGTCAGACGTTTCCTATAGTTCTTGACCAGGTTTGCACACACTGCAACAGGGATTTTGGCCCACTCCTCCACACAGATATCCTCTAGATCTGGTTTCGGGGCTGTCGCTGAGCAACACAGAGTTTCAGCTCCCTCCAAAGATGTTCTATTGGATTTAGGTCTGGAGACTGGCTAGGCCACTCCAGAACCTTGATATGCTTCTTACAGAGCCACTCCTTGGTTATCCTGGCCGTGTGCTTCGGGTCGTTGTCATGTTGGAAGACTCAGCCACGACCCATCTTCAATGCTCTGACTGAGGGAAGGAGGTTGTTGCGCAAAATCTCACAATAAATGGCCCCATTCATACTCTCCTTAATATAGTGCAGTTGTCCTGTCCCCTACGCAGAAAAGCACCCCCAAAGCATGATGTTACCACCCCCATGCTTTACAGTAGGGATGGTGTTCTTGGGATGCAACTCATCCTTCTTTTGCCTCCAAACACGACGAGTGAAGTTTAGACCAAAAAGTTCTACTTTGGTCTCATCTGACCACATGACTTTCTCCCATGCCTCCTCTGGATCATCCAGATGGTCATTGGCAAACTTCAGACGGGCCTGGACATGTGATGACTTGAGCAGGGGAACCTTCCGTGCAATGCATGATTTGACAACATGACGGCGTAGTGTTCTACCGACAGTGACCTTTGAAACTGTGGTCCCAGCTCTCTTCATGTCATTGACCAGCTTTTCCCTTGTAGTTCTGGGCTGATTCCTCACCTTTCTTATCATCAGTGATACCCCATGAGGTGAGATCTTGCATGCAGCCCCAGTCCGAGGGAGACTGACAGTCGTCTTTAGCCTCTTCCATTTTCTAACAATTGCTCCAACAGTTGATCTATTTTCACCAAGCTGCTTGGCAATTACCCCGTAGCTCTTTCCAGCCTTGTGGAGGTCCACAATTTTGTTTTTGGTGTCTTTTGACAGCTTTTTGGTCTTGCCCATGGTAGTAGTTGGCGTCTGACTGACTGTGGGGTGGACAGGTGACTTTAAGAGCTCAGACAGGTGCTACTAAGTTAGATTAATGAGTGGAGTAGAGGTGGACTTTTTAAAGGCACAGTAACAGGTCTTTGAGAGCCAGAATTCTTGCTGTTTCTTAGGTGTTCAAATACTTATGTTCAGCAGTGCAAGACAAATAAATTCTTTAACCACTTCCCGAGCGGCCCGTTGTATATAAACGGCCGGACGGTGGCACTGCAGGGTCGGGTGGCCGCTGTGTCCTCCGGACACAGTGAAACACTGATCGTTGGACGGGACCTCTGTACGAGGTCCCGATCATGTGATCACCGATTGGCCAATCAGTGGTCACATGCAAAGTAGTAAGCAAGATGTCACTTCTGCTTACTACGTGTGAAATCTGTGAATGATCACAGAGGTCACATGGTACAAGGCTATTCACAACAGCCTTGTACCATGTGACAAGCTGTGACCAATCACAGCTCACTCAGTAGTTCTCAATGGCTGCAAGAATGCAGACAGAAAGAAAGAGAAATGATTGCTTTTACATCCTATATGGGTGTAAAAGCAATCAGTGTAAAAAAAAAACAAAAAAAAAAATCTTCATCACCCCCCAAAAGTAGTACAGTGTCACCATGGTGACACTGTACTGCTAGGGTGACAGTATGTAAAAAATAAAAATAAAATAAATAATAATATAAAAAAAATAAAAATGTAAACAAAATGTTTAAAAATTATAATTTTTGGTTATAAACTAATTTGGCTCATTTTTTTTTTTTTTACTAAAAAAGATAACGGAATACATAGCAAAAAAAAATAAAAATCCCAGCGGTGAATAAATACCACCAAAATAAAGTTTTAACTGTCTCAAAAAAATGGTAAAAAATTAATATGGGTACAGTGTTGCATGACCGCGCAATTGTCATTCAAAGTGTGATAGCGCTGAAAGCTGAAAATTGCCCTGGTCAGGAAGGGGGTAAAAGTGTCCGGACTGGAAGTGGTTAAAAATCATACAATGTGATTTCCTGAATTTTTTTTTTAATTCTGTCTCTCAGAGTGGGAATGCACCTACAATGTGAATTTCAGACCCCTCCATGATTTTTAAGTGGGAGAACTTGCAAAATCGCAGGGTGTTCAAATACTTCTGTTCCTCGCTGTATATGAATATATAAAGATTAAGCAAATTTTATATCAAGAACCAGTATGACATTTCACAATCCGATAAAACAGAAGATAATATGCAACTGGCACCGAAAATGATAACAATATAGAAAAAAAATACTGTAATTTTTGATAAAACAAACATTCTGCTTCACTAATATTATAAATAATAAAAATGCACTAGTAATACAATAATCCCTCTTTGAAACCACTGAACTCATTTTATAAATCTACCAATAACAAAATATACTATTTTTTTTTACTGCAAACACCCAAGATTTGTGATCAGAAGCTGGAAAGAGGGTGAGGCTTTGAAATGGTCTATTCTTATCTGTGTGAACATCTAAACTGTGAAATATGAATACATCAAGAGAAGTGTAAATTGAAGAAGCCTCTTCTAAAAACCCCATCTGTTTGTTTACACTAAACACAAAGAAACCAAAACTGGTGGTCACACAAGCCCAGGGGCAGACTGACCATTCAGCACTCGGGCACTGACCGAGGGCCCAGGGTCAGTAGGGGGCCCCATGAGATGCCCCTGGTACCTTTTCATTGGCTTTTTCATAGGCTTTTTTGGGTGTGGGTGAGGACACAGGGGCCCCATGATCCCTTATTGTCCGGGGGCCCCATGAGTTGTCAGTCCACCCCTGCAGTTAAGCCCATTTATAATGGTGGAAGAAGAGATGTGTGTCTGGGGTAGTTTACAATACCAGATAGCAGAAATTCCATGATGACAACCAATACACAAACAAACTGAAAAACTCAGTTAAAATGCAAATATGAGAACATCCATTGCTGACTTTCCTGTTTTACTACTTTAAAAACCACCTTGTCATCACAGGGTCACTTGTTTAGAATTACCTTCTTTCTGCAAGTAGAGTCCTATTTTCCTTTCTGGTAGCAGGTTGCTAAAATGTTGCCTCTTTGCTGCATTCTAGTTGCTGCAGCTATTCAATTGATACATAGAGATAAACAGCCATCCATTGAATTGTTAATAAAACATTTGCTTTTTATTGCTGGAAAATGTATAGCACAGAGATGGCTTTCTTCCTGTCCACAAACAATGGAACAATAGCAAGATGCAGTTATTACCATATTGGAGAGGAAGAAACATACTTACCAGCATAGGGGCTGTCCAGGAAAGTTGCAAAAAATGTGGCCACACTGGTTATCCTCGTGTTTGTCAGCATCTCCAGCCACTCCTTCCTTGTACTAAGGCTCCATGTACACGGGACGTTTGGAAAACACTTCTGAACGATGGAAACTGAATGCTGGAAAATGTAGGTTAAAAAAAGTCTGTTTAGCCGCATTTGCATACCGCGTTTCTGTGTGTTTATGAGCGTTTGCGTTTAGAAGAGGTTTGAAAGATAACCTCAGGAGACCTTCCAAAATGCCCAGAATGCACTGAAAAACAGTAAACCAATTCAGACATTTTGAGAGAAATGGAGAGAGCAGAAGCAGAGAGAGCAGTATGTGTTGAGATGACCTGTCTTTTCTGGTTGTATTCATTATGGATCCCATCATGAGCATAATGCAGCACGTTCTACCATTTCCTTCATGCAAAACCTGGAACTGACTGCGCTGGTGTACCGGGTCCATTTGAATACATGGAAAACGCTTTGCATGCATTTCTGATGATGAAAAAAAGGCTCTGGACAGCATTTGGATATGGAACAGTTAAAAAACGCTTCTAAACGCAAACGCTTATAAACGCGGTTAGCTGCGTTTA